AGAGAGAGAGAGAGAGAGAGAGAGAGAGAGAGAGAGAGAGAGAAAGAGAGAGAGAGAGAGATCATTTAGATTTCTTGCCTTGTTTCTTCTTGATGACTTCGTCGATGTACATTATGCCTTTGCCCTTGTACACTTCAGGAGGCTTGCAGCTCCGTACAGTTGCAGCAAACTGATGAACCCTGTGCTTGTCTATTCCCGTACAGCACACCACATTGTTCTTGAAACAGAACACCCGGACTGCCGGAGGGACAGCCAGTTCGACTTCGTGACTGTATCCCAGTTTCAGATACAAGAGACGGCCTGCTGCCTCGGCTCTCGCCTTGTATCCAACCCCGACTATCTTCAAGAACCGGAAGAACTTGGCTTCCATTTCCCCTTTCCCAAGACTATGCTCGCAACAAGAACTATCCTGCCAAGATCCGATCTTTTGATTCCTGTGAATCTCGTTAAACCAAAACCGAGCTTTTCACCAACTAGTCGTTACTCTAAAGAAAAATGCAGGACGTTTTAAGTGACTAATACTCCAATTTACAGTCATCAAAGGCCATGCTTCTGGAATAAGATACACAGTTGGCTGATGGAATATAGATTCAATCCCCGTAGATATATGGCTATAAACTACAATTCACATGAAAACACACTCTCCTACAATCAGAAAGATAAGAGCTAATAAACCAAACTTGAACGACACCCCGATCTTGGACCGATGGCTTTAAGATCAAGAGCTAATAAACTATGGACAGAGCAATCAAACCTAGTTACCTAAACAGCGAACTACATATATATCATGAGTTCATCAAAACCCATGTTACAAAATCCAAACTTGAATAATACCCATCCCTCGAACCAATCAATCACACGCAAGAATGCAATCAATTTCCTCAACCAACATGATGAAACTAAATCTCCAGGTATCTGCCAGGAATAACCATCAAACATACAAAAATGCAGACAAAAAGAACAACCGAACGTATTACAGACATCAAAATGAAGAATGGGAAGAAACAATCTAAGAACACTGGTCGGAGAAACAACCACCTAGTTTTACCAAGAACCAGAAAGTAAATTAATCTCAGCCCACTAGCATTGCAACAGCGTCGAGAAACAACAACTGATTTCCATGTATGTAACCCGAGTGAGTGTGGGACTACGAAAGCGATAAAGCTGACTGGAAGACCTAATTCCGAACTTTATCAGAGCAGATATGTAAAAATTCAGCCCTGTAAGCATAAATCGACGGTTTTCAGATCTGCAGAAAGATATAGCCTTCTTTAACTGACCCATCAACCTAATCTTTTGACAAAGATTTGACGTTTTGTCCCACAAAAGCAATTAGTTCGCACATACAGCAACAGATCAAAACACCCATCAAATCTATAATTTCTTCATATTCATATATAAATCTATGAAGTATGAACACGGATTCAACATCAATCTTAAGACCAACAGAAGAAAACGTCTCGAGATTGAGCAAATTAAACATCTCGATAAGAAAGCTCGAAATCCCATCAACCAACACGAAGAAATTCGCTACGGAATCAGACATGAGAACTCCGAAATCAATGGAAAATCAACCCAACATGAAAAAAAAAACCCAATGAATTTACCTCCGACGGCGGCTGAGCGAGGAGAAGCTAACGCGGCGGAGACGATCGATTTCGAGTTCGGGGAGGACCTTCAGTGTTCTTCAACTGGACACTTCATCTGGATCTTCAGTATATTTCTTTGCATGGGCCTTTTAGTTTTTGCCCTCATGAGTCCAAAAGCTCGGCCCATGAAGGGTTATTTTTTTTCAAAACAAAATAATCCGTTTTTTTATTATTAGCAAAATATAATAAATAAATAATGAGTACACAATTAGGTTTTCTATTCTGTTTGGGAGATATATACGTGTGTATGTATATATAAAATTTTTATTATTTTATTTTATTTTATTTATTTATTAATATTAGTATAATTTTTAAAATATTTTTGTTATTTTTATTATTTAATATTATTAAATAATAGATAATTGATGATGTGGTATATGATTAGGATAAAATTATTGCCACGTGTGTGGAAAAGTCAATTTTTATGTCTAAGATTTTATTTGTCAATTTTATAAAAGTATAGGTATTTTATTGTTAGATATAAGAAATATAAGATTTAATATGATAAAAAAATAGTACAAAGTTATAATTGGATGAATGAAAAGTATAGGATTTTTAATAGAATTTCTTCTTTTTATGACTATAAAATATAATAAATAATGCGGGATATTTCTATTCTGTTTTTGGAGATGTTATCAAATTTAAAAAGTTTAAATTCATTCAATTTTTATGCTATGTTACGGTTTGAGTTTGATTGGTTTTTATTAAATTATCTAGTTCGTATTTTTTGATTAATTTTATCTTTAGAACTGATTCAAACTATTTTTAATTTTAAAAAAAGTTATGTACTCTCTTCATATATATATATATATATATAAGATTTGGTTTGAATCAATTTGGTATTGCATAACCGAACAAAAATACTTACCATTATCACTGTTTTATATTTTTCTCGTTCAGATATATTAAAAAACTAAATAACAATATTCAAACTCCACTTGAAATTTTTTAATAATAAACCAAATTTAAATTTGAAATGATCGGAATGGAAGTGAAAATATAGTTGGATTCTGACGACAGAGATGGGGTCCACATATTGAGCTGATTCGTGAACCAACCAAACGTTACGACACTTTCCAAATTCGGCACGTGACAGAATCTTTTGGAATCCATGATTTCAGTGTCTTTTCTATCCTTCCATGTACAGAGGGAATCTTTGATTCTCCGAGCCTATTGGAAGATGTGACGCCTCAGGGAATCTGAACGGCTTGATCTACGAATTTATCTTTTTCCAAATCTATCATACAAGTTTTTGAAATGTCGACATAATATGTGTGAACAAATTTTAAACCAAAATAGCTTATATAGAAACAAATCAAGAATCGATAGAATTTCTAATCATAACATTTTTGTATCAGATCCAATACCTAATTTTGACAAAGATAATATATTTGAGTGTGATTCCCTGTAAAAAAAAAAATATCAACCAAGATATTTTATATACAAATAGATATGAAATTAATTTGGCTGAAAATTTAATACACAACATCTTCTGGTTAGAAACCAAAATGAAAAACCTCTTAAAAAATTCCAGATTTTTCATGACACATTAAAAAAATTATATTTTGAAAAAATCTAAAAAAAAATCTGAACTTCTCAAAATAAAATCTAAATTTTATTTTTTATCAAATAAAAACATCAATTTCATTTTTCAATAAAAATAAACTTGAATTTTATATTTTTTTGTCAATTTTAAACTTATTGTTGATGTGATATTCCAACATCGTACGTGGTAAGTCAGTACTTTGACCGTATTTGACATGTCATCGTCCATATGTCATCGGAACGCCATGTCAATAATAGATTTGAAAATGATAAAGATTATAAAGTTCGGATTTATTTTTTGACTAAAAAATAAAGTTTATGTTTTATTTGATAAAAAAACAAAATTTAAGTTTTATTTTGTGAAAATTAAGGAGTTTATGTATTGTTTTAAAATTTTTTCTAGCTATTTAAATAACCAAATAACCATAAAAATGAAATTCTATTTTTTTTTTTTGCAGCAGGGAATTGAACAGTGATTTGTAATATTTAAAATATATGTCTACTAAAAAATATAATGATTAAAAAATTGCAAATCTAATCATTTTAAAATATATAAATGATATATACTTTATTTGAATACCGAATCAAAGTCAAAAGCAATTTGCTTAGCCGGATATATATGAATGATATGCTAGATATATGTTAAACCAATCACATGATAATGATCGCGGAGTTTTTTAATTAATATCGTAAAATATAGATTTTTATCGTGTATAGTACTGGTTTTTTTAGAGTTTTATATAATATATGATAATCTTGCTAACGATTAGCGTTGTGGGTAGGGATATAAAACAAATTGCGGATCGCGAGTTAGCTCACGAGCCGATCCATATTTTTCTAAGTCGGGCTCAAATATTTTGAGTCCAGAAAAAACCGAGTCAAACGAACTAGCTCGTCACGAGCCGGACTCATGGAGAGTCAGCTCGTCACGAGCCGGACTGGTTCGCGGGCCAGAAAAAAATAATTTTTTTAAAGTTTTAATATTTTTATATATTTTAAAATATTTTTATATACAAATTATGTTTTTATTACGTATATTTAGTTTGTTTTTGTTTAAAATTTTATTTTTTGTATTATTTTTAAATATTTTAATTATTTTTTAAATATTAAAATTAGTTTTAAAAAAATTTTAGTATTAAAATTTATTTTTAAAATTTATATATTTAGCTCGCAGACTGTCTCGTTTGACTCGCAGGTTAAGACGATATGGGACGAGCTGATATATTTTTGACTCGCTAAAAATCAGGTTGGGCTAGAATGGTCTAAAATTTTTCAAGATCGGAACGAGTCGGACTGGACTGAACCGAATTTTTACACCCCTATGTGTGGGTATTGTGACATTTAATTAGCCTATTAAATTAATTGTTTTTCTTAGGAAATAATTAAGGCATATCCGATAATATGCAAAGTCTAGTCATCCTCATCGATGAGGATGGTATGATGATGATGATGCCACGAATTAATTTATTAATCCTAAATTTAGGCGGAAGTGGACCCCACCATGTGGAACCGCTTTTCGCACGTGTGGAAAACAAGTGACTCCTTTTTTTTTTTTTTAACTAGAATGGTTATCCGATCCTTCGGGCCGACTACGTTCCCCTAGATCCGGCATCAGTCTTTGTATATTTGTATATGGACTATTTTAATCTAGAAATTATATCTCTCTCTACCAGTAGAATCGAACCAATATCTTGAAGATGACTTTGTCACCTCTCATCCATTGGACCAACAATTGTTAGATCAACAAAGTAAAATCTTAAACTATAGAATACAAGCTGTATTTTCACTTGATATCTTTTTTTTTACATTTACGTGATTCTTTCATTCCAAAAATAAGCGTCAAGTCTTTAATTTCATTCAAATTTTAAGCGAATTTCCCTAAGAAATATAAAATGTCGATGGAACAAATATAATTTATCTACGTTTTACATCAATAGTACCATGTTCATAATTTTAACAATTATTCTATTGCTGGCGTGTAATGCGATGTTGCATGTATATGCCAACTATAAATAAAAATTGATATTTCCAATGAAATCCCGTGATATAATTCCAAGTAAATATAAGAATCATTTAACCGAAGACAGAAAATCTAGTCTGATTAACTGTTACACTATACAATGTTAAATAAAATTTATAACGTCCGTTCGGTCGGGATCGACGACATTTAACGGAAATGACGGTTAAAATTGGTAAAAAAAAAATTAATTGGCACTATTTTGCAAGTTCAGACACAATTTACAATGAATTTTTTTTTCTAGATTACAAATTGAAGAATTACTAGTTTTTAACAAGTTGGGGAGTTTTTATGGGTTTTACTATAAAATTTATAACGTCATCCTACGCAACTCTCCGTTTTTACGTTTTATAATATCTTTATCATATGTGACATTAAAAAAATAATGAGAATATTACGATATATACTATATTATTTAATTTTTAAAAATCAATAACAAAACAGGTGTAACAAGATATCTGTCTAGTCAGACTGGATCTGATAAACCCCGTCCTAGTTGGACCCTGAGACCAAAAAAAGATAAATTTTACACATAATAAAGGAATAGGAATTCTACAAAAGGATTAGGAAATTACGTTCCCAACTTGGAAAACTCAAATTAACGTTATATATATATATATATATTTCTATATAAATGAATTGCAGGCTCCTATATAAAGGACCATCCCCACCTCCGCATCCTTCACCGCTTACAATTACAAGGGTGTTTTAGAGAGAGAAAGGGAGAGAGAGAGAATATGGGAGGGTGGGCAATTGCAGTGCACGGCGGCGCCGGCGTCGACCCTAACCTTCCGGCGGAGAGACAAGAAGAGGCGAAACAACTCCTAACTCGTTGTCTTAACCTCGGGATCTCTGCCCTCGAATCCAACGCCTCCGCCATTGACGTCGTCGAACTCGTCGTAAGCTCTCTCTCTCTCTCTCTCTCTCTCTCTACCATCGTCAAAGAGACATGCAAAACTCTTGACCCCACAAATCTGAAAATTCAGGTGAGAGAGTTGGAGACAGATCCACTGTTCAATTCCGGCCGTGGATCGGCTCTGACGGAGAAAGGGACGGTGGAGATGGAAGCGAGCATAATGGACGGTACGAGGAGACGATGCGGTGCCGTTTCGGGAGTGACCACCGTCAAGAACCCCATATCTCTGGCTCGTCTCGTCATGGACAAGTCCCCTCACTCCTACCTCGCCTTCTCCGGCGCCGAAGCCTTCGCCCGTCAACAGGTGCTTTTCCCGTTTTACCTCTCGTATCTCCCCTTATTCACGATCTTGGACCCACCCTTTTGAATTGATTTGGGCATTAACAGGGAGTTGAGTTGGTGGAAAACGAGTATTTCATCACGGAGGACAACGTGGGCATGCTCAAGTTGGCTAAAGAAGCTAACTCCATCTTGGTATCTTCCCCCATTAAATCTCGACCGTCCATTTTTTTATAACCCTAAAAAGTGACACCTCGATTTTCTATACTATTTTGTTTTAATATCTTAGCTTTTGAATTCTGTTTGTATATTTCCTGATTTTTCGAGATTCCAAATCTTGATGTCTATATTTCGTAAAAGAACGTAAACTTCAGTTTTGGGTTTTTCTTTTTCTAAATCGAATTGATCAAAACAACTCTGTGGTTTCAATAATTTTACAAATTTGAAGTGTTTAAATTGGAATGTATATATAATATATATATATATGGAGAATTTAAAATTTAATAAAGTTCCAAAATAAGAAAGAAAAAAAGAGAGACAAAGTTTAGGTTTTTTTCCATACTTTGCTTTTCCCCCTATTTCTAACATTTTTTTACGTTGACTCTTCCCTTCAACCAGTTTGACTACCGAATCCCACCGGTCGGATGCGCCGGAGAAGCCGCCGCCACCGCGATCGACCTTCCGACCAAGATGAACGGTCTACCCATAAGTGTTTACTCGCCGGAGACCGTCGGCTGCGTCGTGGTTGACCGCGAGGGCCGTTGCGCCGCCGGAACATCCACCGGAGGACTCATGAACAAGATGGTCGGAAGGATCGGAGACTCGCCGTTGATCGGCGCCGGAACCTACGCCTCCGAGCTCTGCGGCGTCTCGTGCACCGGCGAGGGAGAGGCAATCATACGTGCCACGTTGGCACGTGACGTGGCAGCGGTGATGGAGTACAAGGGGCTCGAACTCCAAGAGGCGGTCGATTACGTCATCAAGAACCGACTCGACGAGGGCTTCGCCGGTCTGATAGCCGTTTCGGACAAAGGAGAAGTGGCTTGTGGTTTCAACTGTAACGGAATGTTTAGGGGAATCGCCACTGAGGATGGATTTATGGAGGTTGCTATTTGGGAATGATTTTGCAAATTCATATTATAGAAATAATATATGCTTTAGTTATAATAATGCGTGGTAGGGTTTCACCCATTGATTTTATTAATAATAACATTTTAACAGACCATAAGTCCGATTTAAAATACAGAATTTATATAAGCTTAAGAGGTAAGGGAAGAGGGGGTCGTAAACAATGTGAATAATAGGGGAAACAGGAAAGAGAGGCAGAGAGGAGAGAGACTGTTTGGCGTGGAGGGTCCGGTGGCATTGGGGATGGCCAAGAACGCGTCGGCCATCATACCGCCGAGCCGGACCTGAGCCGATGTGGTGAGGTGGAGACCATCCGGTTCGAGCCGGAGGCCCTTGGCGTCGACGCAGTGGACGTTCTTGAGGTCAGTCTCCAACTGTGCCTCTCTCACTGCCTCGAGATATGGCCCTTCTCCTGATGCCAAAGCCACTGCCCCCAAAAAAAAAAAAAAAAAAAAAAACAAGTTTCACAATCATTAGATATATTAGAAGGGCCCATTGGGCTTTTAATTTGGCCCACCAATAAATTCCTTCATGATAATAGCATAAATACATAACATATGAGACTTTAATATTAAAAAAAAAAAGTTTGAGTAGATAGACCAAAAGTTCACCATCCAAGTTTGATGAAACTGTACTCTTGGAATATAAAATTAAAATCCATATGGATCCAATAATTGTTATGGAATATTTATATATCTTAGGAAAGTATCATATACCCCACACCACATGACATTAAAACGTCTTATTCTAATGAGATATCTCGATCGAATTTAAGACTAAATACCTGGATAATTGGAAGATTTGGATCACGTAAATCGCTTCGAAGATCGGTGAAAAACTTAATCAATCTCTGTTTATAAAGCTCGGATTCTTCCGGATCCACCGTATCGGACTCGCCTTGATACCATAACACCGCCTTGTACGAGCCACCGTTGGCCGTAGCCGTAGCCATGGCTGCCCTTCTCACTGTTTCTTCGTAAAGAGACTCACCCTTTTGCCATTGGCTTATTGAAGTCCCGCCAATGGCACAAGGGACCAAGCCGACCGGTCCGAGCCGGGGATCACTGTCGAGGATCCGGTTAGCGAATGGCATGCCCGGTCCGATGCCATTGGTCTTGGTGACGTCGATATCGGCGTGGAGTGGCTCTTGAGCCATTTCCCACGTGAGCTTGGCCGTGAGCCGTAGGATCCGAGGGCTCGGCCGGGATTCCGGCGGGACCACGCCGTCCCATGCGGCGGTGCCGTTGAAGATCCCGCCACGACCGGCCATGTTGCTCTGACCGGCGAGGATAAAAATACTTACGTTTCCAGGGACATTTTGGGAATGGATTGGATGGTGGAGAAGAAGAAGAAGAACAAAGAACAAGAAGATCATGTCTTTTCTTGATCTCAGTTCTTGAGATCAAGATCCAGAATCTTGAAAACAGGGATCGGAAACAGGAGTACGATGCAAGACAAATGATCTGGACTTTTTTTTTTTCTTCTCTTTCTTCATCCTTACTTCTTGGAAAGGGAAAATTAAATAACTCCGTAATAAATAAATAAAACGAGTAAATAAATTAATCACAAAAGAATACGTTCATACTCAACGTGGTTGTACGAAATTGATATTTTACGTAGCTGTATGGGTTGCTTAAAATTTGATGAGTTTATAAAATCAATCAAGTTATGTAGTGTGAATATAAATATTAGACGATTTACCAAATATATATATAAATATTAGACCTATGTTTATGATTCGTTTCGAAATGTGTGAGATTCTACTGGGTAAGAATTAAGTAGAAAAAATCCCAAAAATATATTCCAACTTATCAATTTTCACAAAATAAAATATACATTTTATTTTTTATTAAATAAAATCTCGATTTTATTTTTTAGTTGAAAATGAATCTAAATTTTATAATCGTTGTTATTTTTAAACCTAAATACTAACATCAAGTACCGATATCATATATGAGAAATTAACACTTTGAACATATTTGACATTTATATATCCCGATATCAGTATGTTATGTCAACGATAAATTTAAAAATGATAATTGTTATAAATTTAGATTTTTTTTATAACCGTTAGATTTACTCGAATAAAACAAAGTTCGATTCAATCTCGTAAAATCGACAATTTCACATTTTTTTGGGATTTTTTTTCAAATTAAATAATATACGGTCTTTGGTTCTAAGGTCAACGCTTGTGGGTACAAAGCCACGAGACCAGATGGATCCACACATAGATAACAGAACATTTAGTCATTTATTTAAATGTTTCTATACGTTTTTGCAATAAAATCGCCTTACTCACCCATTCCATTCGTACAAATATATATATATCGAATAATTTACATTGGGTCCATGCTTCAAGTTTTGGAGACGAATTTTAGGATAATTAAAAAATGTATCTAACAGTGCCTTAATTATTCTAGAAAAATAAATAAAAATGTCTAAATTGTAACACAACAAAAATAAAAAGGGTCATTTAGGAATTTTTTGGAAGATATAGTTGGACCAAATACATAATGAATTTCTTGATTATAAAAAAAATAGGGAAGGATGGGTATGAATGATACAACTCATAAACTCGTATTTCCAAATATATTTTTATTTACTAATTGTTTTCTTACTAGGGACACAAATATTACCCCTTAATTTATAAAAATGCTTTGTATATTTTATTAATAGGAACGTTATGGATAATTCCTATTTTCTAAAAATACTATTGGAGTCGTCATGCAGATTTGAATACTATTTCTAACCCATCCCAATTTGGATCACTTAATAATTACAATTGCAGGCCCAATAAAGCCCATGGACCTCATTTTTTTATGCCCTCCGTTATCTGTAGTTATATACGCGCACACAAGAAAAGTGGAAAAAAAATATTTTTATATTTTCGTATTTTAATACTTGAAATCCATAAATTTATCAAAATTACATTATTTTGATAAAACAAAAATAATAATAAATAAATTAGAAATACGTCATTTTAGCCATTTTGTAAGGTTTATACAAAAGTAAAATATGTTATTTTTTTTTTATAACTAGGATGGTTTCCTGGTCTTCGGTCCGACTACATCCACCCTAAGCCCGGAATCAGCCTTTGTATATGGATCATTTTGATCTAGAAATTACATCCTTCCCCACCAGTGGAATCGAATTCAGGACATTAAACATGACTTTGTCACCTCTCAACCATTGGGTCACCAACTATTGGGTAAATATATTAAAATTCGTTGTATTAAAATAAATTTGTAAGAGTTTTGCTACTAGATTTGATATATAACTAAAATTGGAGTACTTTTTGCAATGTTTCCTACATACAAATAATTGTATGTATGTATATATGTATGAAAAAGCAATTTGTGGTATTGTCCTACATCTTAGGCTAAAGTTGTGTATATATAAGAAAAAGTTGTGGGGCGGAATACAAAGTTACTATACTTCTTTTTAGAAATAAGGAAAAGTCCAACGAATACTCGAATATACCGAAGCAAAACCAAATTTTAATTCCTACTAAATAAAATATATATATATATATATCAAATTTTAATTCCTACTAAATAATATATATATATATACCTCAATGTGACATAAATTTTATTAATTTATCCCTGATGTCCAATGACCTGATAGTGTAATGGACTGACTTTGATGAGTTTATGTATTAACAAATTATATAAATAACCCAACTTGATTAGCTCAACCGGATAAAACGGGAATACAAAGCTTGTGTTCTACCCCGAGTTTTAACCTCAAATTGGGGAAAAAAACGTAAATTCTAATCATATGGTTTGATTATATATGATTTCGGAATTAGTCTACAGTTTGGTATAAGACACCGGAATACTAAACAGATAAATTATATAAATTAATAATATTGTAATCACTGTATTATTGGTGGTATATATAATCACGTGCTTTTTAGGTCTTATTGAAAAGTATTCGACAACAAAACAAAACCAAGTACACATATAGGAATCAATCAGATGTTAGTGCAACTTAAATCCACAGATTCTAATTTCTACATTACAATTCCAAATATATAAGTTACCTTGATTTGATAATTGCATACTATTATTCAACACAACAAATTCAATTTCCTATATTATTTTGACTCGTATATATTATAAACCATCGTAATCACATTAAATCTAACTTGTTTTAATTTATTTATTATTTGGATATAACATTCCCCGTTCTCTTGTTGTTAATATTCGGAACCTTAATCATCCATTTTTTTGTGGGACCTATAATTTTTCGTGCATAATTTTTACCCACGAAATGATGAATTCATTTAAAAATTTATAACCAATGGATGCATTCTAGACCAAGGGGGTTAATAGTTGTATCCCACTTGCTCACCAATGAAAGGGATTTTTTACTCAAATGACCCATTTGGGTCGCAGCTATTTCAGCGTATATCACCGAAAAAAAACAAATTTTTTTTTAATTTTAACCCACTTTTCGGTTGAAAAAGTCTGAAATACCCTTCTCTTTTTATTTTTTGCGACCTTATTATGACTAACATATAACTGATATACAATTAAAATAAGACAGATGATTTTTTTACCATATTTTTTAGAATCAATTGTAACATTTTTGTCACATTTTTTAGAATTAATTACGAAGTCGTAATAACGAAGTTGTTTTCGAACGGATAAATATCGTGTATTCATTAAGGGTAATTTCGTCTTTTAAAAAAAAATTAATGTGTTATGTTTTTTGTGGTGTACACGTGAAATAGCTGCGACCCAAATTGGTCATTTGAGTAAAAAAACCCAATGAAAGCAGAAAGCCTATATCAAATTAATAAAAAAAGTAAATTGTATATGTATTTTTCTTTGTTATATATAATTAATTAGGAGGAAATCAATTTATAATTAAAAAAAGATACACTAATAAACGACAAAGCCAAAAGTAGTGAAAATGACCAATTAGGTTATACGTCGCCAACTTGTATCCCCAACGGCTACATTCAACTGCCTTTTAGGTTTATTGTCTTTCATTGAAATGAATAATATATATATATCCTTGAATCGAATAATATATATATAGGACGTAGACATGTATATCTATGATTATATACATACGCGCGTGTGTATATATGTGTGTGTGTGATAATTACATGCAATACGACAATCACGTTTGTCAAAGCCTTTATTATTAATATATTTCGAATTTCAATTTTGATTATTGCGATAATGCGATGCATTCTTTATCTGCTAATTGGATTTTGATATTTGATTACAAAGAATGTACTTATGTGATTGCGAAATTAAAGTGCTTTGGGAGAGGTTTCTGAATATCAGTTTGGTTCATATCCAAAGGAATAGTAATTCTATGCGAGTGCGAAATTTGTATTGAATCGTAAATCTCTTTGTACAAACTGTGACTTTTTCGAATTGCCAACTCATTATTTTAATTTATTAATTTTTGTGAAAAAAATAAAAAATATATTTATGAATATATGATATATATCTTATGTATATTGAGTTGCAATTATTTAATAAAAAAGGGTATGATTAATACAAACATAGAAATTCGAATCATAATGATTTTCCACTGTCTTTCGTCTGAAATACTTTGAAAAATATAATTGGTCAAAATCTTTGGGTTGACTAAATTTTCAAACCCGGTTGGCTTCTTTGGTTATTGTTTCCTTTAGTGACCATATTTCTTTAACTAAATTTTAGGACCCACCATTATAACTTGAAACTACCGTTGAAAAGTCAAATTATATTTTTGTAATCGTAATCTTGCATGGTCAAAAGAATATTCTAATATTAATTCTATACATAAATGCGAATATTTTGGGTTTCGAATTCAAAGACATCCAACTGTTTTTACTATCGTGTTGGTGTAATAATCACAATTTTCTCTCTAGTCCATATCAAAGAACACATGTATGTGATAACACAAAGAATTTCATATATATATATATATATATATAATATAAGTGAAAATTACGCATAAAAGTGATATATATTAACAATCCAACATTGATAGCTTGTCCCAATCCTGGGTTCCGGGTTTTCCTCAGAAAAAGTTATATATATATATATATATATATATATATATATTCAAATTTATTATGATGTGTTGGTCAATGAAGTGAGGATTTGTGTGATGACAGCCCGAACACAGATGGAGTTAGGTTATGTTTGATGAAAATCCATAGATATTATTATTATTATTGATGTAATCCACTAATAAGGGACTTCCACTGATTTGCATGGGAATAATTATGGTTAGCCATTTTTGGCAAAACCCATCAACTCAGTCTTGTTTTGTTTCGAATAAAATAGGATGACAAAATAATTGCAATAATTTAGGGTATAATAATATGTTGTCGCATCCCTTCCTTATGCAACTGGCTTCTTTTTCTTCATGGAAGTTTCCATTATGCTAATCGAAATTCTCCACATTATAAATGACATGGCGTATTTTTTTATTATAAAATTGTTTAATTGATTCACTAT